ACACGGTCGACGTCGGTGCCGTCATCGTCACCAAACTCGACGGTCACGCCAAGGGCGGTACGTCACGTTGCCTTTCTTGGTGACTCGCCTTTGTTATCCCCCTCTGCCCTCACGCGCGCATGTGCACATTGAAACCCACACAGGTGGTGCACTATCGGCCATTGCTGCCACCCGCAGTCCCGTCATCTTCATTGGGACTGGTGAACGCATTGAAGACCTCGAGCCCTTTGCCCCGCGCTCCTTTGTCAGCAAGCTGCTCGGTCTCGGTGACGTTCAAGGCCTGATTGAGCGTGTCAGGTGTGATTCCCGACCCTTCTCGTCGTTGCTTCTCAGTGTGCCCCCCGTTCCACCCAGCGTTGGCTGCTTCTCGCTTCTACTCAATTTTTTTCTCTCCGTCTTGGTGCTCAATGCTTGTCTTGTTTGGAATTAATAGTGAGTTGGGCATTGAGGAGGATCCCGAGTTGATGAAACGCATCAAGCATGGCAAGTTTACTCTGCGTGACATGTACGAGCAGTTTCTCAACATTCAAAAGATGGGCCCCTTCAGTCAAGTCATGGTATGTCTGGTGGTCGTGATGACCCACCATCCCCCCCTTTTTTTTTCAATGCATGCGAGCCTTGACTTTGGTGGACCTGGCGCGTCTTTCAGGGCATGATTCCCGGCTTGAGCAATGTGTTTGGCGATGGCAACAACGAGGTCGTGACCAAGCGTATGCAGATGACGCTGACCGTCATGAAGTCCATGACCGACTTTGAGCTCGATCATGCCAAGGCCGCCAAACTTTTTCGCGAGCAGCCTTCACGCAGCGTGCGCCTTGCACGCGGTGCGGGCGTACACCCATCTGTCGTTGAGCAGCTCTTGCAGCAATATGGCAAATTCTCCGAAGTCATCAAAAAGATGGGTGGCATCAAGGTCAGTGCGCGCACCGCCAGCTCTTTGTGTGTGTGTGTGTGTGTGTGTGTGTGTGTGCGTGCGTGTTTCAAGTTGTTTTGTAATTTTTACGAACGTGCTCTCAACTTTATTGTCCACTGGGTTAGGGTTTGATGAACGGCGATCCGTCCAAGATTAGTCAGCAACAAATGAATGTTTTGAACCAGGCCATGGCCAAGGGCATGGACCCCAGCATCTTCCGCTCCATGGGTGGCGCGTCGGGTCTGCAAAACCTGGTCAAGCAAATGACGGCCGGTGGTGACGCAGGCGGCCTGGGTGGCTTGATGGACATGGCCAATAACCTCGGTGCCATGCAGGGCCGGGGTCGCCCTCGTCGCGGTGGTCGGCGCTAAAGCGACCGTGGGCCCCATGGGTTGTTCATTTTTGTTGCTTTTTTTTTTTTCTTTTTTTTTTCCAAGTTGCTTTCTCCCTTGCAGTAGAGTGTCAAAACGCGTGCAAGCGTATGTGTTTGGGGGTTTTGGGCCAGCAGGATGAGTTTCCAGCCGAGCAGGCTCTCTTTTTGCCCCGGACCTAGTCGTTGGTTTGCACTCGCTTTTCTGAGCAGTCGACTCTTATTCCATAATCCAAGTGGATCATACCGGTTGATCATTGCTGCTTTTTTCTTTCTTTTTCCATGAGCAGGCGCTCAGACAAGCAAGGTCAAAAAGACATGAATCAACTAGGTGGGGGCAAGACCACGCAAATCTGGGCCGCCGGTTCAACCGGTCCAAGCAGAGATGGAAAGCCGGGCCAAGGAGTCACGATGAGTGCCACCTCGGGCCGATGAGCCGCCCCTCTGCGTCTTCGGCATCTTGTAGTCCAAGCACCAACCACACTCCCTTGTCCGAAAGACGTGCTAACCCAGAGGGTCATGCACGTCCACACAATCTCGTTTGAGCTCTGGGTCATGCACGTCCACACAATAACGGTTTAGCGAGCTGTCACAATGGTTTCGATGGTGGTCGTTTGTTCTGCAATGGCCTTTTCCAGGCTGTCTTGCTCCACCTGCAGCCGTTCGAGCTGAGCCTTTTGCTCGGCAATCAAGGCACGAATCTGATGTTCTTGGGCCTCCCGACGCTTGCTCTGCATCTCACGCTCGTTTCTCGACGCAATGGCCTGTGAGGAGAAGGTGGATGAGAAAGCGCATTGGGGGAGGGGTCAGGCAGTTGTGGCATGGGCCTGGACCAATGGATCAACGCGGAAGGGGCTGGTACCTTGATCTTCTCCTGCTCGACCGCTTGAGAAAGGCGCGAGATCATGTCAATAAAGCTGCCAACCGAACCTTGAAAGGCTTGCATACCTAGTTGCAAATGGCATCAAACGCAGCGGTGAGAACGGAACCGCATGTGCATGACCCAACAAAGAATCCAAGGCCCACGCACGGTCAAGAAACTCGGTGCACTCTTCCTTCAGCTCGGTCGTTTGCTAAGTAGCACGGCACACAAAGCCGGCGAGGTGAGATTGCATGACGCCGGAGGCGAAAAGGGGAAAGAACAAGCACACTATTCAATGCGCTTGACACCACGTCATGGTTCGACGGATACACAGGGAAGGGGGGCATGTTCAAGGGCTCACCTGCTGCGATTCGGGATCAAGCACTCGAACTTTGGAAACCTCATCGAAAAAAATGTTATCGGGCGCCGGAGGCGCCTCCAATGCTGAACCACTAGCCATGGTGCTTGGAGTCCTCAATCATCCACAAGAAAACAGCAGGATCAAGCCTCTCCGGCCGCCGCTCGCACGCACACACACTCTGTCTCGTCTGCTTGGCCTTCAGAGGAGCAGCGTCAGAGAAGGAAAAATAAAGAGAGAGTTTGAGAGAGTTTTGAGAGAGTTTGAGAGAGTTTTGAGAGAGTTTGAGAGAGTTTGAGGGAGAGAGAGAGAGAGAGAGTGAGAGAGAGAGAGAGACAGAGAGAGAGACAGAGAGAGAGACAGAGAGAGAGAGAGAGAGAGAGAGAGAGAGAGAGAGAGAGAGAGAGAGAGAGGGAGAGAGAGAGAGAGAGAGAGAGAGAGAGAGAGAGAGAGAGAGGGAGAGAGAGAGAGAGAGAGAGAGAGAGAGAGAGAGAGAGAGAGAGAGAGAGAGGGAGAGAGAGAGAGAGAGAGAGAGAGAGAGAGAGAGAGAGAGAGAGAGAGAGAGAGAGAGAGAGAGAGAGAGAGAGA